GGAATCTGGTTTTATTTTCTCCAAAGCTACTTAATAACCAGTATGGCGAGCATAGCCTATCCACTGGCTGAAGGGTTCTGTGGCTTTATCAATATAACATACTCAACATTCTGAGGTTTATTACTTTCCAGAGAGAAAAAGAAAACCTATGTTTTCCAACTTATTCCACCAACTGACACCATGGTATGAAGCCCTGGAGGATTCAAAATCCCTGCTGTGGGAAACAGAAGGAGATGAGTGCTGGTGCTCATTTGATTTCCTCCTTTTTCTTTCTTTCTTTTTTTTTTTTTTAAGTCAATCTGGGCCCCTCAGCGCACCTGGATGGTGCTATCTACATTCAGGGTTGGCCTTCCCTCATCAGTTAAACTTCTCTGGACATTCCCTTAAAGACATGCCCAGAGGTGTGTCTCCTAGGTAATTCCAAATAGGCAAGCTGACAATGAACAGTAATCATCACAGTACGTGAAAGAATGTCTGTTCTTTGGGGGCATAGGGTTAGCAACTTCTTTACAGTGGTTCTGAGAGAAACTGGTATGTGTGTGAAGAGTGAATGTGCAGGCATAAATAAGACTGACAGAGGGGAGGGGATGGGAATGATGATGCAAATGTGGATGAAAGGGTATAGAAGTCTTTAGCTTTAGTTTTGCTATTCTTTAAAGCTGAAACGGTCGAAACAAAAAGACTAAAAACTGGCCCAAATTCAAATGATCCTTTGATCAGTCTTCAACATAGAAGTGCATATACCTGCAGGACCAGACAACATTTAAAATTATCTTTTATAGAAAAAATTTCAAATAAGAATGTAAGCGTGGAGTTAAGAGAGGTGGCTCAGTGCTTAAGAAGAGCATTGGCTGCTCTTGCAGAGGATCTTGGTTTAGTTCCAGCACCCACATAGTGGCTAACAGCCATCCAGTTCCAGAGGATCCAATGCCTTCTTCTGATCTCCATAGGCATTGCACACTTGTGCACTTACATATATGCATGCAAAACACTCATACACATAAAATAAAAAAATTAAAAATCAAAGAAATTAACAAGAGTTTTAAGAGATTATTAAAGAAGAATGGTGGCACCCAAAACAACAGCTGAACTGCCAGCACACGGAGTCCTGATGCCCTGTAATCACTCTCATCTGTGGGAGGGAATAACCATACCATGCACCTGCCAGAGAAGTCTATGGGACTGACACCTTGATACAAGCAATTAAATGTTCTTAGCCGGGGCTGGAGAGATGACTCAGTGGTTAAGAGCACTGAATGCTCTTGTAGAGGACCCAGGTTCGAGTCTCAGCATCACGTGGCAGCTAGCCATCCAAAACTCCAGTTCTAGGGGATATGACATCCTCTTCTGACCTCCGTGGGCACTGCCTGACACAGGCGCACTTACATACATGCAAACAATACACTCATACACATAAAATTAAAAAAATGTTCTTAGCCTTCCATGAGCATGTGAATTAGAACAAAGAAATGCTTACTCTGGGCTATCTAAAATACCCTACTGTATTAGTTACTTTTCTCATTGCTGTGACATAATACCTGACAAAAACAACTTAATGGAGGAGAGTGTTTCTGGCTAACAGTTTGAGGGCACAGTTCATCATGGAGGGGAAAGCATGATGGCAGAAATGCTAGTGCAACGGATCACATGCATCCACAGTCAGAAGAGAGAAAGATGAGTGAATGCTGGTGCTCAGCTTGCTTTCTATATTTATTAAGTGTAGGTCTCCAGCCCACGGAATGGTGCTACCCACATTTAGGGTGCACCTTTCTACCTCAATTAACACAATCTATAAACTCCCTCACGGACATGCCCAGAGGTTTGTCTCCTAGGTGATTCTAGAGCCTGTTAAGGTGATGTTTTCATCACATGAAGTATTTATTTTGTTTCCAATGCATAGCAAGGTAGATAAAACTTGGTGTCTCACAGAAAACTGATCTCAGTTATGACCTATCTCTGGAAGCAACTATTTTTGGTAC